ACACACCTGGAACAAAGCTGAAAATAGCATACACTCAGGGACTGAATAAAATATTTCACTGCTAGGATACATGCAACTGAACATTTTTTCAGAATTTAGAACTTTACCGAAAAGGAACTGAATATTCTCTTTCAAGGACGTCTACTGTTGTTTGTAACTTAAGAAATTTCAGAGGGACTTATGTACAGGAATGCACAGTGTAATTCTACATCAAATTGAGGGCCAAAATATTTATCTATTGCATAAGTTGCCTCTAGAAATCACCTACTTCCATTTTCCTCAATGCCCTCAAAAATTACATACAAAAGGAATAGACTCGTTGATCTCTTTTTTAGTGGAGAAAAAATGGACTCTACATATGAAAAAGGCCTAGTGCATGTCACAAAGTTGGACATTCTAAAGTAAATTTTCACACTGTGGCTGGCCAAATTTGGTTCCCTACCAAATATGTGCCAGTAGGATGGAGGTTTCTTGGTCTAAGTGTGGAAATGAAATGGTTTTGACTGAGGCACATTGTCTTCTGACTGTTCTATTGGAGGACGGTAACAATTTTAGGAACTTGAGTTGATACTTACAGATCATAAGCCCGTGGTTGAGTAAAAGGTTAGAAGGTTACACTTTGAATTAATCTTCATATGTAGCTTGCTCTACATCCAGCCAGAACTCCTTGCCATTGAAGAACTGTTGTCTTTCAGCAATTGGCTTTTCAAATTTCTTTTGTTAAAAAAATACTTGTTCAATTTTAAAGGAGTCGTTTGGTTATCGAAGGTGTAGAAAATTATGCAGCTTGTGATTGTGGTTCAGAACAGCTCAAAATAGTAATACTAGGAGAATATAGGCATGTAAAAATAGCTTCCTCCCTGTTTCGGAGGAGGTTAGGAACATTAAACACATTATTACATTAGTTAGAATAAGTGGACGAAGAGAAACTAAGTGATTATATTTGACATGTTGGTGAAAGAAACTGACAAACAGGAAGAAATATGATGCCATGTAGTGTATATTTTTGCTGTAAGCAAAAGATTAGCTATTATTGGTTTCAAGGTAGAAAACTGCTTATTGCATCTTAAAATACTTGAAGAAGGAACTCTACTCCCCTCAGTAACCTCTGGAAAAGTTTGTCATGTGTCCTCTTCATAGGAGGGTTGCAATTATCTTTAATATTAGCTACTGTAGAGTCAACTCAATTACTTTGTCCAACATTCAGTGATGGAACAGCTCATAAATTTCTAGATGTCATAAAATCATTCCACCTTCTCATCTTTCTGACTGAATGCAAGTGACTCCGTTAACCTCTTTTATAAACACTGCTGGTCAGTTTCATTCCCTTGAGTTACTATTCTTTCTGTATTGTTTCTGCTTTTGTTAATTTCCCTCATGTCTATGTTGAGCTTCAAAGGCCATTCTGATACTGGATGTGAAGAGGGATTATTTCAAAGCCGGTGCTATCCTATTTCTGGTCCACAGCCAACAATTACCAGGAGCATGGATGAATGCTACTCGGGCCTGGACTTTCACTTGCCTATATTTGCTTCCCTGTGCTTTGTTCTTTCTCCACATAACCTATAGTTGATCTTATTTACTTCACTGTTTATTATTGTTCCTTCATATCACAGACATTTCCTTTGATTAGCCACTGTGTCCTACAATATTAACTGTCATGATTTCTTATGTTATTGTTAAAGTCATGGTTCCCAAGCACAACATTTTTTAAGCCTTGAAGAACACCTCTTAAGAAATGCTTTCGTTTGACATGAAATCAAAAATCTCCAGGCAACCTTCAAATCCGGACACAAGATGGTCATAAGGGCAACATGGATGAAAAGCAGAGAGCTATCACTATGGTTCCTATTTACAATCTTAAGGAAGGCAACAGAAATAAATGCTGGTGAGGTTGTGGAGAAAAAGGAACCCCCATGCACAGTTGGTGGGAATGCAAATTGGTACAGCCACTGTGGAAAATAGTATGGAGGCTCCAGTATATCCACTACTGGGTATTTACTCCCCCCAAAAACCAAAACCACTAACTTGAAAAAGTACATGCACCCCTATGTTTACTGCAGCATTATTTACAATAGCCAAGATATGGAAGCAAACTGAGTGTCCATCCATAGATGAATGGATTAAAAAAAATTAGGTATATTTATACAATGGAATATGACTCAGCCATAAAAAAAGAACGAGATCTTGCCATTTGCAACAACATGGATCGAGCTAGAGGGTATTATGCTAAGGTAATTAAGTCAGACAGAGGAAGACAAATACCATATGATTTCACTCATATGTAGAATTTAAGAAACAAAACAAATAAAAAAAAGAGAGAGAGACAAAAAAATCCAGACTTTAAATACAGAGAACAAACTGGTAGTTGCCAAAGGGGAGGTGGGTGGAGGGATGGAAGGGGATTAAGAGTACATTTATCATAATGAGCACTAAGTAATGTATAAATTGTTGAATCATTATATTGTACACCTGAAACTAATATAACACCGTATATTAACTATATGTCAATAAAAATGAAAAAAATAAAAATAGAATAAATAAACATAACACCTCCCAAAGGCCTTTTCTCCATATACCATGATTTTGGGGGTTAGAGCTTCAATATGTGAATTTTAGGGGGACACAATTCAGTCTATAGTACCATTTGATTCTGATTATTAGCTATATTTGGACAGACTAAACTGATCATGTGCAGACAGGCTCAGAATTTTGCAAACAAAACAAAACAAAAATGAAGTTAAAAGAACTACTATAAATTTATAGAAACACTTCAAATCTCTTGCTAAGAGGCCAAAAAAGAAGAAATGGGAAATTGCTATATAAATATGGTGGTGGCACAGACGGTTAATTACCTACCTAATTGCCATTTCTATTTCTTTGATAAGAAAACATCAGTTTTGTTTAGGTGCCTGTTGACTATGACACTGAGGAGAAGCTGGACTCCCCTCCACCCTTTTGAGTGAGCCTTAATTGCACTAAGCCAGTCATGCAAATGACACTCTCCTGCCTGTGATTGGTTTTAGGAATGGGTATATGGAACAATCCTAGCCAATGGGGAGAAGGGTATCAGGAAGATTTAGGAAGGTTTTCCTTAATCCTATAAGATGAAGGCATTGCCTTTTTTGCCTTTGAATGGTTTTATGTAATGTTGTGATGCATGGAGCTATGGCAGCCATCTTGTGACTACAGGTTTACAGCTTAGGCATGAAAGGCAACAAAGTGAGATGGCATGGTGGAAATTCTAAAAATACCTGGATTCTTGATGAGGTTGCTGAGCTGTTAAATTAACCCATCCTCAAACTGTGACATGTCTAAACTTCCAATAATAGGACTTACTAAGTTTATTGTTGTGTAAGCCAGTTTTAACTGAGTTTTCTGTAAAATTGCTATAGAATGCACCTTGACTGATAAGTTGTCCAACACTTATTCTTCTAGTGCATAGTTATATCCAGCGCAGAAGTTTAAAGGTGCTTTAACACCTACCAAAGTTGATTTTAATCATGATGACCTAGAACAGTAACAGAATCTTTTTAGGGTTTTTTTTATACTGTTACATAACTGAAACACATTTGTGATTGCATTGTATCTATAAGACAAGTAGCTGACATTTTTAGACCAAAAACAAAAACAAAGCAAAATAAAACTCTGCAGGAAGAACAATGTCTCACAAGAGAGATTTTTTTTTTAATACAAAAACTGGTTAATGAGATAGCAATTATAACCAGGGTATATTATGTCAGTGTACAAAATAATGACATGTGAATTCAGACAGCATGGATTGAAAATGTATATATCTGAATATATCACCTGGGACTGATTATTAAGGTGTTAATGTATTTCTTAAATTCCAGCTGGAACTGAATCTTTTGCTCCAAACATTCTGAAAGATCAACCCCAAATGGAAAATATAGCAATTTCTGAAATTATCTTAAAACTTATTACTAATGCATAATCAACCCAAGATGATGGCTAAGAATATTCAAATTGCATGTTTACATGAAAAACATAAAAATTAGCAGCATACTTAAGTAATTATTAATTCTCAGATTTTCATTACTGCTTCATCCATATTGCCAGGCAACATAGGAGTTAAAAATATTAAATAAATCTCTAATAAATACAAAAGGAGAAGAGCAGAAATAACCACAAAGCTATATTTAGAATTATCCCCCCAAAATTCTATAAGAAGTAAATTGATGAGTGGACTATACAATGAAACGAAAATAACACTTTTAAGCTTTGCAGGTTCATAGAGTACTTGTATGGAATAGCAATACCTTTTAGAGTAGATATTTTAAACCACACACAGAATAATAATAAAACTGAAAAGCACACTTTTCACAGACAAATATTCAGTGATGAATCAAAATGTATGTAATGATCTAAAATCAAGATGCTGTTTGCCAACCTAAAAGTATTTGATTTACAGATGATCAGTGTGCTTAAAGTTAATATTCATGAAACAGTTGATTTTGACCAAATGATAAGGATAAGGTAATTTTAAAGAGGAGCTACAATAAACTATTACTACAGGGGGAAAGAAGATTTGTTTTTTTTTTTTCTGGTTTATGAGAACATTTTTTGGATAAAAAACCAGAGTGATTTTGGTACAGGACATCCCCTGCTGGACAGAGTCCACCATTACAATATTTTATTAGAGCAGAAGAGGCTTGGCCAATTCCTCTAATTCTCTCTATTCTGGCAGGGAGAGAGGGAAGGTACTTCAAAGATACCTGAACCACACCTCACACCAACCGCAACCAAGATGTTAGGAGCTGGGTTCCGAGCATTTGCAATGTGTAAAGCTCACCAGTTGATGATAAATATGTACTGAATATTGCTAGAAAGATGTTCACCATGGCTGAGGAAGATAGAGGAGTTTACCATGTCAGAACGGATCTGAGACTGTGTGCAAGGTACATGACCTACAGAGGTCTTATTCTAATTGAATGGAAAGAAAATGAAGTTATTGTGTATTATTATTCGGTTCAGTTTACCTTGGGCTTTTCGTCCAGGATCTGCTGACGTATCTCCTTGTGTTTCTCTACAAGTTTTTCTTGCCGTTTACTTTGGGCCTCTTCTAACTATAAGAAAGTTACAAAGAAAGTAATTTTCATCTGAACATTCAAGGGAATGTTTTCAGAAAAACTTGAAAGCTTTTCAGATCTATGGCATACATTGAATTATTTCATATCCTGATCAAAAACTGCCCTTACAAGTGTAGGAGACTGTTGGTTAAGTGTTGGTTCTCGGTGATGGGGCACAGGGTGGGGGTAGGGTGATCTATAGATTCTGCTCTTTTTACATTTTTGTTAATGTTTAGATGAGCCTTTTTATATATAGGTTTGCAATTAAACTTACAGAAACATTCATTACAGAACGCCTCCTCTTTAAGCAGCTCTTCTGGGTGCTGGTGATAAATGGATACAAGGCATGGCATTTCCCTTCAGAGGCTCACACTGTGCTTGCCAAACATTCATACATGGTTTGCAAAACAGAGAGAGATTAACTGACGTACCCTCTTGATGTACTGCACCACCTCTTGGATGTATGACCGGATCATCTCTGTCTTTTCCCTAAGAGCAAATGACAACTAGATCATTACATGAAGTCATCCTGCGTTAACAAATAGGTGAATTTCAGACTTTCAGGTGAAAGTTCACAGAACTTTCCACAATCTCATTGCTGCTTCAAGAAAGGTACAGTCTGCCCAAGGGCAAGCAAGCTAAATGCTGGGAAGGTTGCCCGACAGTATGGGAACTGAGGACTGGGTTTTTTCCTAAGGGCACCTCTTTACCCCATCTTTATCTGAAAGATCCCTGGGTGTGCCTTAGTCATTTATTGAACTGCTCTTTGACTTCCAGGTTAAAACCTTTACAAAAGGGATCTTTTGAAAGGTTAATTAGAGGAGAAATTTCACAGATGGGTCTTTATGTGGTTAAGAAGCTGTTATCCTGAACAGAATAAAATAATCCCCAGGTGACAGGTGGGAGAGAAGGGGTTCTTTCTCCTCACTCTTCCATTTGACTTTTGTCTTTGGATTTAGCCTCTGTTATCTTCTCCTGCCTTTTTTTGTCCATTTTCTTCTTTAATTCCTTCTTCTCTCTGAAGTCAAAATGTAAGTAAAAGGGGGAAAAAAAAAAGATAAATGAAACGGCAGTTTGTGTGCAACACGTTTACAGACACAAGCCCATTGTAAAGAGAATGCAGGCTTACTTCTCACAGATTTCTTTGAGCTTCTTCAGCTGATTGTTCTGACATTCTTCAGCAACATCCGTCAATTTTTGAATAAGCTGGGGAAAGAAAATGTGTTTGCTGTTTTACATGATCTTAAACAAAGCACCCTCTCCCCTGGATCCCCCAGACAGCAGTATCTGGAGTTAGAAAAGCTGTGATTGATGTTTAACAATAGTTAAAATGACCAGGCATCTAACAGGCAAGGGGGACATGATTTAAAACCATCACATTATCTAGGTTTTAATATCAAAGTCTTCTTCTTCTCTCCTTTTTAATTAAAGGGATTCCTTAGATTATCGTGCTGGTTTCTGCAGCTTGGCTCGGTGCAATGACAAGTAACATGGAGGTTCAGTTTCCAGTCCCCACTCTAGGACATCAAAAATATGATTTTGGTCAAGAGTGCTACATTTTCTGAACTTACGTGTTCTTGGTTATAAATGGGATGATCAATGCCTTTGTCTCTTGGACATACAGTGAAGCTCAAAATCATATGAGGATGGTACGAATGTAAGTTATAATCAACCGTGGATTGGAATTCTTGGTTTCCACCTAATTCATTGTTTAATTGCTTCGAGGACCATGAGTTGCCCACCTTAGATAGAAATCGATGTTTGCGTCCTGTGTAGGTAACTTCCAAAGACCATCAGAACTTCTCTTCTATGGTATGGGACCATTGAATTTTCATACATGCCATGAAAGCAATTCTTTCACTGTTTTGCATCTATTTTCTTATCAAACCAAGCTTCCAGAGGGCAGCAACTGTGTCTGGGTTTGCACATCCTCGGCCCTCCACACCATTCCTAGTGTTTAGTCGGTGCTCAGTAAATGCTTATCAGTTACATGAGGGTCATTTTGCCCTCCAGCCCCATCTTTTTCTCTTTTCCACAGGAAGAACCTATAGCACCTTCTGTCATGACTCAGGCAGCCGTGGTAACTGGACTCCATCCTTCTGACTGGAGCCCCAAGCAGACGGTGTGGGCTTCCTCTGAAAGCCCCCCCACTGCTGTTTGCCAGTGAGGGGAATTCTCAGATACTGCAGGGTAAGCTGACCAGTTTAATAGAAGTGGTTTCTGCAACAGGGACAAGGCAATCTAATCAGAGTCCCAGCAAACTTTCATGGCTAATTTATATATGGCCCGTACAGTTTGAAGAGTTTTAATTGTATTCAATTCCTATTCAATTCCAGGAGCTGCACTGTGAGGTTGTGCTTTTACCTTTGTTTTACATATGAAGACACTGACGTGTGTGGTTCAAGTTCTGGGCTCCGAGCCACAGAGGTGGTAAGTGGCATAGCTGGGTATAAACCCAGCAACTCAGGCTTTGTGGCTTGTGGCCTTCACCACTATCCCATGCTCTTTTCATGATTTTAGAAATTATTTAAAAAAAAAACAAAACCTTTCTTGGGGCACCTGGGTGGCTCAGTCGTTAAGCGACTGCCTTCGGCTCAGGTCATGATCCCGGGGTCCTGGGATCGAGCCCCGCATCGGGCTCCCTGCTCAGCGGGAAGCCTGATTCCTCCTCCCCCACTCCCCCTGCTTGTGTTCCCTCTCTCACTGTGTCTCTCTCTGTCAAATAAATGAATAAAATCTTTAAAAATAAAATAAAATAATAAAAACAAAAAAACCCTTCTTAAGAGAATGAAAACTTAAGGGAGAAATTCTCTTAGAGAACTATAATAAAGAAGGCACATTAAATTAACGTTAATGTGAAATTTGATGCATTCATCTGTGAAGTGGATTAAATCTGAGCAAGTATGAACTGGGACTTGGGTCAGCAGCAAACCTATTTGATCATTCAAAAGAGACTGCCTGATCGGGACCATCACAATTAAAGAAATCATGAAATATTACAGCTTCTTAGTGCCATTTATCAAGCTGTCTAGACGTAAAATGTCGGTGTGCAAACACTGGAAATTTCCTTGAGGATTCCCGCAATCTCTATTCCAGCTGAGGGTATGCACCCAGCGCCTTTCCTTTCCCTCAAGATCTTTCTTCTCTCTCATTCACTCCGACGAGTTAACAGTGTTATCCCCAACATTGGCTGCAACATCAGAACCGCTCCTGGGTAACTTCCTAAAATGCAGATTCCAGGGCCAGCACCTAGGCCTATGGACTCCAAAGGTCTAGGGGGGAGGGCCTGGAAATCAGTATTTTCAAAATTTCTGGTGATTTGGATATTCTGTCCTATCTTGGAGGTCTGCGTGGGCCTGTCCTCATTCTACAGACCATTGTTGACTCTCCCAGCAACGCTTCTGAATTCAACAACCCTCATACTTCTGTTTCTACTTTGTCATCTGTATCATTCACCTGACTCCAGAATATTCTCTTATTGGTTACGCCAGCATCTACTCACATTTCTTGCTTTCCTTCCACCTCCTGCCCTCATCCTCAGCCACCTCACCATCCAGTCATGGAAACCCCTGAGCTTGAGCTCCCACAGCCCTTATCCCCACCCAGTTCTGACTTTTATTTTGATTTGGTGTTACCCTCCTGTACAATTGGCAGCACTACATTCCCTCAAAGTTCCACAGGGGTTCCGTGCCTGCTGCATCCCCTGGCCTTCCTCATTGCTCCTCCCTCAGACCATCTGCACTTGCTCTTTACTTTTCTCGGGAAGAGTTTCCACTTCCTTTGCTTCCGGAACACACACCTTTACCTAAACTACTCAATTTAGCCACAGTCCAACAAATATGTCTCAGGTACCTTAAACACCTGGCACTATTCTACAAACTCCGAGCCAATGACTTGGCTTTCTAGATCTTGTTACTCAAAGTGTAGCATAACCATGTCACACCAGCAGCACTGGCATTGCCTGGGAACACAACAGAAATGCAAATTCTCAGGCCCTACCCCAGATCAACTAAATCCAAATCTGATTTTAAATAGGATTTTCGGGAGATTTGTGTTCATGTTACAGTTTGAGAGGCACTGTCTAGATTATTGAGAACGATGGAGACAATCTAGAAGAAGCCCTCTGTTATGGACTGAATGTTTGTGTCCCCCCCGCCCCCGCAAATGTATATATTGAAATCCTAACCCCTAATGTGATGGTATTAAGAGGTGGGGCTTTGGGAGGTGATTAGGTCATGAAGTTTGAGCGCTCGTGATAGGAACAGTGCCCTTATAAAAGAGATCCTGCAGAGCTCTACTGCCCCTTCAGCCGTGTGAGGACACCATGAGGAAATGCCCATCTATGAACCAGGAAGTGGGCTTTCACTAGACATCGGAGCTGTTGGCTACATCTTGGACTTTGGGCTTCAGAACTGTGAGAAATAAGTGTTTGTTGTTTAAGCCACTTAATCTATGGTAAGAGACTAAGACATTCCCTCAAATTCCCTCTTTTCTGTCTCAAAAGATCTTTGGCATTTTATCTACATTCTCTTCATTACCTCAAACTCAGCTCCCTCACATCTGACATAGGGATAACGTCTCCCTCCTGAGGTGGTTGTGAAAGTTGAAAGGAAAATCACATATACAAGACCACTTTGTAGGTCCCTACCTTGGTTTCCTTACCCTTCCTTCCAAGAGAAAGGTTCTCGCCCTTGTTTTCCGTCCTGTCTTCTCCAACCTGTGGCAGGACCTGATCAACCATTTCATGGAGATTTGTGAACTGCTCCTGTTACCTGTATCTCACGGCTTTGTGTTAATGGCATTCTGGTGCAGATTTTTGCTAACTCTGGTCTGGATTCTGAGAATTCCTTTCCTACCTTTCCTGCCCTCAGTCTCTCCTTACTCCTGCCACTCCATCCCAAATATTTTTCCTTCTTGTATGTACCAAAGCTTTAACTGGCCCTCTATCCCCAAATATGTTATGCTCCGGCTCCAAATTTCCTTTCTAGGCTAGCATTCATCATACCCAATAACCTAGGCAGTATTCTGCTCTTTGAACTATCCAGGCACACACCTGCTTCTATACTTTGTCTCATGTTATTCTTCCACCTTGATGATATTTCCATTTGAATGGGAGACAGCACAAAATAGGACATGCCCATGAGTGCAGAAAGTTCCATTACGCTGGGCTGCTCTAACCAAGGGAGTGGGTACTAGTGGAGGGATCCACTTGTCCATGCCCCTTTCTTTTCTAACTAAACCAGCCTTTGGGGATACTCCCCTTTGACTGCCCAGATAACTCTAGGCTTGGCCCCTTAACTGGCTTTTGTAAAAGATGCCAATTATCGATACTGACCTTTGTGTGTTCTTATTTTATTATTGCTCCCTAAAAGAATGTCACCACTGCAAACTCCTTTTCTTAATAATTTTTTTTTGGAACCCCAGACTCTACACAAAATAGGTGCTCAGAAAATGTTGTGAATGAAATCTTTTATGTTTTAAAACCATACTGATCCTGACCTTGGTGAGAACAATGAAGCATCATGTCCAAGCCATGGGCTGTCTTATTGGAAATACTTTCAAAACTATATGGTTTGGGTACTTAACAAGCTAAGTTTTGTTTCTTTGAAACAAATGCCTTATTGTGAAATCCAATATGTTTTTAAAAACATGGTTTTTGCATGCAACTGATGAAAACTGTTTCTGTAAAATCACAAAGAATATGTGTTTTAAAAAGGAAAACATCTCTGTGTTTAATATGTTTAATATGTCACAGATATGTGACTGTCTTTCCATTGTGCTCAGTTAACCTTGGTCTCGCCCATTCTTCCATACTACAAACCCCTCCCTCTAGCATTCTGTCCTTTCCAGCTATTTCCAAAAGACTGTCACTCTTACTGTAATTCTGCCTTTTCGATATTTGCTGTTTTCTTTTACTCTTCCTCAACTTAAGGTCCAGGAGGTAGAATGATTAATATTATGTCTTTGTTAATAATATGCCACTATTGTCAGATTCCCATAAAACGGGCAATGGGATTATATATACATATGCATCAATAATTTATCCCTTTCCTACACTAAAAAGAGAGTTGGGGCTCACCTATGGTTTTCTCTACCCAACACTACTTCTCCAGGAAGAAGTTCTGCTTTCTGAGAACTGGCTCTGTGCCCAATGTGGCTCCCATGGGAGCTACTGTATTCTTTATCCCCATCCCTTGACCAAGGTA